ACTCACACAGATAAGCCATTGTGCTTTCATCCGGAGCGCTGGGCTGAAGGCTAAGCGGCTGAACATTAACTATGAACAGCTGAACGGTTAGTATGACTCAACTACAGTGAGTCTTTACATCATGTTACCTGAGAGAAAATATACAAGATTAAATATACTGTAATCTGTAAGAATCTCGAAAAGTTCGTTTTGCAAATGAGTCTAATGTTCATTAGTGTTTTTTTTTTCTTCACAACGTAGGCCTATGTGAGGGAATGTGTCCAGATAAAGAGAGATTTTGTAAGTGTGTGACCTTAACTGGAACAGGATACAGGAAGGCAAACATCTGATGTAATATTCTAAGTAATTGCTACATAATTACTCTGGCTGGCCTTATTGCACTACACACTGGTTTCTGTAGATAAAAATGACATTGACATAGTGCCTGTAAGAAGAACATGAACATAAAGGTGTTTCCATTGGCATATGTTCTGTTATTACTTTGCTCTTTAGCAATGTCACTCCTCACGAGATTTTGATAAGAAGCTCAACAAATTATGCCATGTTGCACACGATAACATAATTTTTTGTACAATGTACTTTTCAGGGCTACATGTGCACAAAAAGGAACGTGCATCGGTTAGAAATACATATTAAGATATTATAACTTTAAATGCAAAATCAAACAACACACTACAATTAAAGTAATCTAAAGTAAAAATTAGTGTACTTCTTTAAAGCATGATAACATATTATTCAAACAATGATTTTAAATGTACATTTCTATGGAAAACATTCAATATGACATTATTACAAAGTGTAAATGCGTAAAGAAACAGTCATGAATGTGTATTCTACACCTAAGTGGCCTTTTATTTAATTAATATTATATTATCTGAAATGCAGTTTTAATATACTTTTGAGATTTGAAGTATACTGCAAGTGCACATTCAATACAATTAAGTGCACTTTTTTCACAAGGGATATACCATTTACCATGTTTATTATTATTATGTAGAGCATAGTGCTAGCAACACTTATGTACTGGGTTCAAATGCTTTAACGCATCAACTGTATACCCTGAATTTGGAGGGGGGAAAAAGCATTGAACATTAAAGATGTTTGGTTTTACTGTTTGTCTGGCTATGACTGGATTATAATAAATAGGTCTGTCTTAAAGGTAACATGTTAGAAAAAACACAAATGGCTGCCACTAACTTATACTGAAAGGCACTGAAAACCCACTACGACAATTGAATCTCAATATCAAATATGATTCAGTGCCACATTTTTCAATGAAATTTCCAATGCATTTCTAACTTAAAAACAAGGACAATTCTGATGTATTTTGGCAGGGACATTTCCAAGAACAGCTCCAACTGTCCCCAGAAATCATAGACATCTGGTCACCCTATATTATGAAAAAATGAAGTAGGAAGCCAGAGCTTGATGAAGCCCATGGCATTTGGAAGGCTGGTTTGGGCTTTTGCCCTTTGGCTAAAGATGCACGACATGCAAAGATGAGAGACACCCAGTCCATGGTGGACAAACTCTTATCTAACCAAGACCAGCTGGCTGAGATTGTCTCCATGGAGAGACAGACACATTTGGACTGTAGTGATAGTTGTCCCGTTTGTCTCATAATGGTTTGTTACACATGAGAGATAAGTCAGTGATGCATCAGACATGCGTCTAGACGTCTAGCGGGTGATACTGAGGTGTGATCAGTAAGTCAATATGCCTGACTGAAGCAGGCAAAATACAAATAATTTACAATATCACAAAAGAGGGTGTTGATCTGATGTCCATGGAATAACTAATGACCTTGTTAAATAAAAATAAATGCTTGATCTAAAATTCAAACATTTTCTGTGATTTGCTCACATTCACAAAAACAATGTGGCTCAGTGTTTTAAATTATACTTTATTTAATATAAAACAAACAATAAACAAATAAATATTTCTAAAATAACTCTCTTGAGGGGAATTTTATAATAACATTGTTTGATTGTTACAGTGAGGAATACACAAATGGAATGCCATGTGGTTTACAATTCTTGTTTTTTTCGTACGCAAAGAATGTGCTTTTACAATTCTGTAGGTGTCATGGACTGCTTTAAGCGTTTGTTCCTTATTTAGAGGTCATACATCACTGTAGCTGCCTGAAAAGAAGATTGAGCTCTGGTGATAAATCGAATTGAACAGTTTTGCTCACATTTGGAGAAATCAACTCGCATACTTATTTGGAGTATGCACACCAATTGTCCCAGAGTGTGCCCAAAGGGATCTGTAGGAGCGTCCCTGGTTAAGAATGTAAAGTACAGGGTAAATTATCTTGAAAAAAGCCATTGGCTTCTTATCAGCTTGTGGGATGAGGCTTTGCATTCCCTGAAGGACATTGCTGAGTTTGTTTTGAAAGGCCAGCATTAGCATTTGTATATTAAAAGATAGTGCAGGATAAAGATGGGCAGCTGGAACCATTAGCATAATAAGGGGCTTTCTCATTTGCACACAGGCCTTAGACAGCCCCCCAATCACCCTAGCCAGCAGTCACACACATTACATCTGTATGAGACCATTGTCCACTTAGGCCTATGCCTGGACCCTGCAAACAAACTGGGGTGGTTAAAAGGTTACAGCCAAACAATGGAGGATTCACCATTTGAAATCAGTCAATATCAAGGGATTTCACATTCAGTCGAGTCCTTTTCTTCTGTACAGTACTGACAATGGAAGCATTGCTGGTCCCCGCAATGTCTCAGTTTAAATGGGATGAATGGTTGGGGAGAAGACCACGACAATCCATGCTTACCAAACGGTGAGGCATGAAATGAACAGAACAACAGGAAGTTGAGTGCTCAGAGGTTTAGCCTTGACAGTGTACAATGGTATGAGCAGCAAACAATAGCTATTGTAAATGTGTCGATGAAATGAAGAATCATTCAGGGATAGCTGCAGAACAGATTTACATAATTTCTTCACCTAAGTAACACCTTCACTTTAAATCATTTAGAATAATTTATAAAATGCAATTGACTTCTGTAATGATATGTACATAAAATATTTTAAGATATTCACAGGAAATCAAAAAATCAGGCACTTTGCTGCCACTACAGCAATTTTTAACATGCAAGATCCTGAGATTTAAGACAGTTCTTTAAATAAAAAAATGTAGAATAATTTTATATAGAGAGATATTTATATTTATCAATGCTATCTGCTTTTTATATCAAAATAAATGTTCTTTATTAAAAAAAAGTCTGTTTTGAAAACGCTCCTGTATTCTGCTCCAATGTAGCTTTCTACATACAGCAGCACCCGTTCAATAAAAACTTGAAACAAAAAAGCTCATGACCAGACTCAGTCCTGTTTCTCTGTAAAAACTACCAATCACCAAATTTCATAGTGCCAAGCATTGTTATAATGTTCTTAGGCAGAGCAATAAAGGTTGAAAATCCTTGTACCGCTTTTCATACAAGTGTTTCCATAGCAACATCTGATGTCCACGAGCTTGTGCCCTCAGCCAAAAAGGACTATCGCATTGTTGTCTTCAGGTCCATCCGAGAGCGCACGTCGTGGTAGCCAATGAGGCATGGGTCAGTTGACATAGCATCATGGGTAAACACTGAATCATTGTCTGAAGAGCAAGAGCTGGAGGTGTCCTCACAAGATGGGGAATACTGTTCGAAAGGGGTGGATAGGTCCAGGTACTGAAAATGTAAAAATACAACTGGTTTAGTGGTTTGGCTATAAAACAACATTGTAGGACTCAAACTCTTGCCGAAATAGGTGTTTACCTCATCTGAAATGGACACCAGCACCCTATCAAGCTCTTCCACAAGCTGTTTGAATGTTGGTCTTTGTGTTGGTACTGCATGCCAGCACTCTCTCATCTTCATGTAGCTATAAAAGCAATTGGAATATAAGTACATAACCTTGAAGACTGACATTAAACATGTTTTTGGGTGAACAGATTGATGCTTACAGTTCATGGGTGCAGTTGGAAGGTTTCAGTAAGTCAATCTGCCCAATTGAAGATCGAAATACAAACAGTTTACAATAGCACAAAATAGTGTGTTGATCTGATGTCCATAGAACAAATAATTACCTTGTTAAACCGTTGATCTGAAACATGTTCTGCAATTTGATCACATTCACATAGACAATATGGGCCAGTATTTTAAATTATACTTTATTTAATATAAAACGAACAATAAACAAATAAATTAAATATTTCTAAAATAACTCTCTTGAGGGGAAATTTATAATAACATTGTTTGATTGTTACACTGAGGAATACACTAATGGAATGTCATGTGGTTTATAATTTCATACACAAAGAATGTGCTCTTACAATTCTGGAGGTGTCATGCACTGCCTAAGCATTTGTTTCTTATTTAGACGTCATACATCACTGTAGCTGCCTGAAAGAAGATTGAGCTCTGGTGATAAATCAAATTGAACAGTTCCGCTCACATTGGGGAAACTCATTCGGAGTATTGTCCCAGAATGTGCCCAAAGGGATCTATAGGAGTGTCCCTGGCTAAGAATGCAAAGTACAAGGTAAATTAACTTGAAAAAAGCCATTGGCTTCTTATCAGCTTGTGGGATGAGGCTTTGCATTCCCTGAAGGACATTGCTGAGTTTGTTTTGAAAGGCCAGCATTAGCATTTGTATATTAAAAGATAGTGCAGGATAAAGATGGGCAGCTGGAACCATTAGCATAATAAGGGGCTTTCTCATTTGCACACAGGCCTTAGACAGCCCCCCAATCACCCTAGCCAGCAGTCACACACATTACATCTGTATGAGACCATTGTCCACTTAGGCCTATGCCTGGACCCTGCAAACAAACTGGGGTGGTTAAAAGGTTACAGCCAAACAATGGAGGATTCACCATTTGAAATCAATCAATATCAAGGCATTTCACATTCAGTCGAGTCCTTTTCTTCTGTACAGTACTGACAATGGAAGCGATGCTGGTCCCCGCAATGTCTCAGTTTGAATGGGATGAATGGCTGGGGAGAAGACCATGACAAACCATGCTTACCAAACGCTGAGGCATGAAATGAACAGAACAACAGGAAGTTGAGTGCTCAGAGGTTTAGCCTTGACAGTGTACAATGGTATGAGCAGCAAACAATAGCTATTGTAAATGTGTCGATGAAATGAAGAATCATTCAGGGATAGCTTCAGAACAGATTTACATAATTTCTTCACCTAAGTAACACCTTCACTTTATATCATTTAGAATAATTTATAAAATGTAATTGTTTTCTGTAATGATATGTACATAAAAGATTTTAAGGTATTCACAGGAAATCAAAAATCAGGCACTTTGCTGCCACTACAGCAATTTTTAACATGCAAGATCCTGAGATTTAAGACAGTTTTTTAAATAAAAAAATGTAGAATAATTTTATATAGAGAGATATTTATATTTATCAATGCTATCTGCTTTTTATATCAAAATAAATGTTCTTTATTAAAAAAAAGTCTGTTTTGAAAACGCTCCTGTATTCTGCTCCAATGTAGCTTTCTACATACAGCAGCACCCGTTCAATAAAAACTTGAAACAAAAAAGCTCATGACCAGACTCAGTCCTGTTTCTCTGTAAAAACTACCAATCACCAAATTTCATAGTGCCAAGCATTGTTATAATGTTCTTAGGCAGAGCAACAAAGGTGAAAATCCTTGTACCGAAGTGTTTCCAAGCAAGATCTGATGTCCATAAGCTTGTGCCCAAAAAGGACTATCGCATTGTCGTCTTCAGGTCCATCCGAGAGTGCACATCGTGGTAGCCAATGAGGCATGGGTCAGTTGACATAGCATCATGGGTAAACACTGAATCATTGTCTGAAGAGCAAGAGCTGGAGGTGTCCTCACAAGATGGGGAATACTGTTCGAAAGGGGTGGATAGGTCCAGGTACTGAAAATGTAAAAATACAACTGGTTTAGTGGTTTGGCTATAAAACAACATTGTAGGACTCAAACTCTTGCCGAAATAGGTGTTTACCTCATCTGAAATGGACACCAGCACCCTATCAAGCTCTTCCACAAGCTGTTTGAATGTTGGTCTTTGTGTTGGTACTGCATGCCAGCACTCTCTCATCTTCATGTAGCTATAAAAGCAATTGGAATATAAGTACATAACCTTGAAGACTGACATTAAACATGTTTTTGGGTGAACAGATTGATGCTTACAGTTCATGGGTGCAGTTGGAAGGTTTGTCCATTCGATGACCTTCCTTCAGCAGCTTAAAAAGCTCCTCTACTGGTATCCCAGGGTATGGTGATCCTCCCAAAGTGAAAATCTCCCACATCAAAACTCCGAAAGACCAACTGAGGAAGCAAGTGATCAAAAATGTCAGCACACCATGTAGGGTAATCAGCTTGAGCTGTACTAATTCAATCTTCTTGCTGAGAACATTTTTTAGTCATTATGACAATTTTTTTAGTCATTAAAAACATCCACCATCAGGATTAAAATGTACTGGTGCATTCTGGTTAATCTGAACGGGCTGACATTCCAGGCAGGGGGATCCCTGCTCAGCTGATTCTTTGGCATAGCTGCAATGATTAGTCAGACTTACACATCACTCTGGTGTGTGTAGACTCGGTCAAACAAGGCTTCTGGTGCCATCCATTTCACTGGCAGACGTCCCTGAAATTGGAAACAACAGGGCTGTGAGTGGGACAGTTAGCTGCCACACAGGCCAAGCCAAAGCACTCCACTTCCTTTGGATCCACAAAAATATGACTGCCCAATCCTTCACTAATCCCCGCCCCCCTTTCCCTAATTATCTTCTATTAAGCTGTCTGCCAATCAGCATAGACACATTACACATCTGTCTTTAAAAGCATTAAGATTTTAAAATGGCACATAAAGGTTCATACAGCCCTGCTTACAAATGAGATGTCGTCAAAAGAGCAAAAACATCTAGCTACAGTTCTAAGAAAGTCTTGAATAGAATTGTTACTTACATTAGTGGTCTTTTTGTAGTAATCAATCTGATGCACTCCTCTTGCCAAACCAAAATCTGCTATTTTCATCACATTGTCCTCTGTCACAAGAACATTCCTTGCTGCTAAATCTCTGTGAATGCACTGTTGAGAAAAAAAGAGAATTCTATTTATTTGAAATGGCCCAAACAATGTTTTGGCGACTCTTTTCAGCTTCTGGTAAGTAGATAAACATGTTCACAGTGAGGCTAGTTTTGTTCCCACAGATGAAACCAGATGAAACCTCAACAGAAAAGACAAACTACTTTCTATATGAGAAATGCTGTATAAATCAACATACAGTGAGCAACATTTGCAAAAGTTTAAACAAGCCTAACTTTAAATAGACTTGGACTTAAAACAACACATAAATGGTTTCTGATGGAAATGCATGTCATTAAGTTTATTTTGGTTTTCATTTTAAATAGTAGTGGTATTTGAGGATTGAAAAAGAGGACGAAAATGGCCCCTGGTTTGTGGCCCTTAATGGAGGGGTTTAAGACGACTGCATTCTTAGCAGGCCACAAAAAGCTAGTAATACAATCCAGTGCACAGGCGGGTCCGAGCGCCTGCTTGCTAACAGATTTATGGCAGTGCTAAAAAGGACAAAGCCCACAGAGACAGGATGGACACAGCGGTAAACACGGCACACCACCACTACACTAAGGAATGCTTGGCATCACGTGTCAGACAAAGGGATGTGTTGATAAGATGTGGGGGGGCTGGTTTCAAAACGAAGCTAATTGAGCCCTGCGAGCAACTTACTCTTCTAGAGGCCAGGTACTCCATGCCTCTTGCGACTTGGTAGGCACAGGAAACTAGGTCTTTAAAGGTGAGCTGTTCTTCAGGAACCTTGGTCACATCAAAGGTGTAGTCCATGCCAGGAGGTCGACGTGCTCTGAGATATTCCCGTAGGCTACCCTTAGATGCATATTCAACCAGCACATACAGTGGACCTGAACCAGAAATATAAATTGAATTGAAGTCAAATCACCAAATGAAGTTCATACAACCATGAGATGCCAGTGTTTAACTTACCATCCTGTGTGCAAACACCAAGAAGATTTATGATGTTCTTGTGCTTGTCCATCACTTTCATTAGCTCCATCTCAGAGATGAGGTCTGCCAGGTCTTTATCGTTTGCATCGTCTGAAAATGACCAAAAATTCCTTCTTAGACTTCGATTCAAAAAATGCTCAACACTTTAATACAATGCATGTAAGTACAAACTTACCTTTTAGCATTTTAACAGCTACAGTTGTCACTTGATCTTGATTCTCTTTGTTTATCCCATAAGCCTCTGCTCTCACCACTTGACCAAAGCAGCCCTCTCCAAGTGGTTTACCTAATGTCAAACTGGCACAAAAGATTTCAAATAAATATTCAGTTCACCATCATATAAAAGGAAACTTTTTACAGCTATGGTTGCTGGTACTGCTTACTTCTCTCTTGGAAACTCCCAGTCAGGGTCATAAGGCAGTTCAAACTCCATAACTCCAGCCAGCATTGGGGAACAACTGGAGGAAAGACGAGCCACCCTCATCAGTGAAGCACTTGATTTTCCGGAAGAATTGGACTCCACTGAATACTGTGATAGGGTCCAAAACATACAGGATTAGAATCCAGAATGCTCTGTTGAATTCCACGTTCTTGGGGAATTATCATGAGGTTTGTTCACAAGTGTCATCTTACCTGTCTGCGTAAGGGAAATTTGGAGAGTTTCTGCACTGGGAGAGTATCAAAAGGCTCCCGACTGGGATGAACCTGCATTCGGCAGAGTACCACTATGACAATGGCCATCACCAGTGCAAGGAAACCAGAAGCATAGATGATGATGTCAGTGTACTTGGCCTCCATAAGGTCCATCTCCTTGGCCACATCCTCCTCTGTGGAATTGACAAGTTTTCATTACTTGTACCTTTGAGTCTCAAAGAATTTTTAGAATTTGAGTCATCAATGTGTCTATAAAAACCTACCTGATAAGACTGTAAGCCAAGCAGACT